AAAAGATGTTTTTGGAATTTAGGTAAAATGGGGGTGGTTTTTTTTTTTTTTTTTTTTTTTTTTTTTTTGGTCTTCCTGTAGCCCCAGCTGTCCTGGAACTCACTATGTTGACCAGGCTGGCCTTGAACTCACAGAGATCCACCTGCCTGTGCCTCCCAAGTGCTGGAATTAAAGGTGTGTGCCACCACGCCTGGCTTAAAAATTTTATTTTATGTGTATGAGTATTTTGCCTGCATGTATGTAAGTGTACCACATGTATGCATTGACCTTGAAGGCCAGAAGAGGGCATTGGATCCCCTGGAATGGAGTTTCTGATGGAGTTGTTAGCCTCTGTGTGGGTGCTGGGAACTGAACCCTGGTCCTATGCAGAAGCAGCCTGTGCTCTTAACCACTGAGCTGTCTCTTCAGCCCCTTTATTATTTTTTAAAGATTTATTTATTTTTATTTTATGTGAATCACTGCATGTATGTATGTGCACTGCATGCATACCTAGTGACTGAGGAGGCCAGAAGAAGGAGTTGGAGCCCCTAGAACTAGAATTAGAGGCAGTTGTGAGCTGACATGTGGGTGCTTGGAACCAAACTTGGTTCTCTGAAAGAGCAGCAGGTGTTTTTAACCACCGGCCATCTCTTTAGCCTCTGTTTCTTTTATTTTACTGTTTTTTGGTTTTTTTTGAAGCAGGGTCTCTCTGTAGCCCCAGCTGTCCTGGAACTCACTATGTAGACCAGGCTGGCCTTGAACTCACAGAGATCCGCCTGCCTCTGCCTCCCGAGTGCTGGGACTACAGGCGTGCACCACCATGCCTGGCTTGTTTTTTTTTTTTTTAAATATTTTATTTATTATTTTTATTTTCTGTGTATGAGTGTATTGCCTGCATGTCGGTAAGTGCACCCATGCTGTGCAATGCCCGCAGAGGACAGAAGAGGCTGTAGGATCCCCTAGAACTAGAGTTAGGACAGTTGTTAGCTGCTGTGTGGGTGCTGGGGTTCGAACCCTGGTCTTCTGCAAGAACAGCCAGTGTTCTTGACTGCTGAGCCATCTCTCCAACCCCATATTTCACTGATTTTCTTATTTTCTTATTTTTCTGACTCTGTAATCAATCCTGTTAGTTTATCATCATCATCTCTGTCACCATCACCACCACCACCACCACCATCATCATCCTCATCATCGTTTTTGACACAGGGTCTTTCCATGTAGCCCTGGCTGACCTGAAACTCATGTAGTACAGGCTCACCTTAAACTCTTAGTAGTCCCCCTGCTTCTGAGGTTACAGTCATGCACCACCACACTCAGATGTCTTTCATCAATTTTGTTTTGTTTTTGTTTTTGAAGACAAGGTCTCCCTGTAGCCCTAGCTGGCCTGGAACTCACTGAGATTCATCTGCATGCTGGGATTAAAGGCGTGCACCACCATGCCTGGCTCATCAATTTTTAATATATTTTTTAAAAATTTGATTTTTTTGTTTTTTGATTTGGATGTTTGTGAGAAAATCTTGCTATGTAGTCCAAGCTGGCCTTGAGTGCACAATATAGTCCAGGCTGGCCTCTTGTAGTAACCCTCTTCCCTCAGCCTCCTCATTGCTGGATTTTAGACATGTGCTACCACACCTGGGACAAATGATTCTTTTTTTTTCCTTGTTTTTTTTTTGAATCAGGGTCTCCCTGTCACCCCAGCTCGCCTAGAACTCACTATGTAGACCAGGCTGGCCTTGATCTCACAGAGATGTGCCTGCATCTGCCTCCATAGTGCTGAGATAAAAGGCGTGTACCATCCACCACCATCTGGCCTATAAAATCATATTTTGCAAATGCCAATTATATACGTTAGTTATTAGATTACATGAGTCTTATGAGCCTATATGAACATTTCCCTCATGATTACAAGTCTTCCTGAAGACAGAAGTTTAGGTAAGTTAGGTAAGCCGGGTATGTGGCACGTGCCTTTAACTCCATGCTCCCAGGAGCCTAAGACAGGATTTCTGTGAGTCTAAAGCCAGCCTGAACTATATAGTAAGTACTGTACCAACCAGGGCTACATAGCAAGACCCTCCCTCAGAAAACCCTAGCTAGTAAAAATACAGAGATGGGATATAGCATAGTGCACAGTGCTTGCCTAGCACGGTAAGGCCCTGGGTTTGATCCTGCACACTGGAAACAAAACAATAACAATGTTTGTTCTGAATGATTTTGCTTCTACATTATCACTCATTTTTGTAAAAAAAAAAAAAAAATTTTTTTTTGGTCTTTTTGAGATGTCTCCCTGTAGCCCCAGCTGGCCTGGAACTCACTATATAGACCAGGCTGGCCTTGAACTCACAGAG